TCGCTGGCTCTGCAGCCTCCGCCCCCGAGCCGCGCGCTGCGGCCCCGGCACCCGGGCCCCTCCCACCCAGCATCGGCCTTTCCGCCTCCTCACCAGCCCCCACCCTCAGCGCCCGGAGGGCTACCGGTTCGCAGGGGACAGCTGGCCTGGCTTCCTCCTGGGCCGGGCTGTCGCTTTCGCCTCCTTGCGCTGGTCTGGACCGGGCGTCCGATACCTGGGCAATTCCTGATCAGTGCCCTGCGCCTAAGGGTGCTGATGAACGAGGCTGATTGGCTGAGGTACCCGCCAGGCCCAGCTGCTCCTGGCTTACAGTCAGCCTTCAGTGCTGCTCATGCTCCCCTGCCCCCAGGCCTGGAGGTCAGCCCTAGAGACCACCCGTCTCCAGGGTTCTCTCCCTGCCTCTCCACTGCCGCTGCAGCGCAGATTGGGATTGGCTTCCAGCTGCTTCCAGTTCTCTCATCAGCTGGCCCCTGGAAGTAACACTCTGGACAATGCCTTCGCTCTGTCTTCCTGCGACTGACCTCTCCTAAAAGACCCCACCACCACCACCACCACACACACACCGGTGCTGGACTGAGTTAGGTTCCCTGAACGCTGCCGGATCGGATCCCACTGGTACCTAGAGGAAGAAGAGGGGGCAATTAAATAGGAGGCCTCTATCTCCACCCACCCCCATTCAAGAGACTCGCCAGATTAATTCTCTAATTTTCCTCGTCCTCACTCTCTGCCCTTCCTGTCCTTCCATTCCTCTGGTGCCAGGGAGTTCCCTTTAATGTCCCAGTTCCTCTTCATTCCCATTGCCAAAGTTGCCTGCAGTTTTGCTAGGTGCCCCCCCACCCCCAACACACACACATTTCCTAAGACCCAGAAGAGGGGACATACGCAGGGCAGCCACCCCAGCCGATAAATCTGCCAGGGCTACACCCAGCTAGCCTCTGGTACGGCTGACATAGGGCATCCTTTCATACACACTTCCACTTCCAAGGCCACGCTGGGCTTTTCCAGTATAGAGTTGCCCACCATTTCAGTACTTACACAAGTCTGCCCCAGATCAGCCCAGCCACCACTCCTGAGTCTGCTGTACCTTCCTAGGAAGCAGGTGCAAGGTGAGCAACACGAGTCCTCCCAAGCTCCTGAGGCATGAGGGTTTCTACCTATCTGTATGACCTTAAGGATGTCTTGTGCCCTCTCTTGGCTTCATCCACAGAATATGGTGGTTGAGGGGCCAGCAGGTAGCATCATGGTTAAAGTACTGGACTCCCACGTGGCTGACTGCAGTTTGAATCCCAGATCCAGCAACTTGAAAATCCCTCTGAGCATGTATGCATGCATGCTCAAAATCCTGAGAGGGGCCAGCACATGGTGTAATGGTTACATCGCTGGACTCCCACATGCCTGACTAAAGTCTGAGTTCCAGACCTGAAAGCCAGAAACTCACACCATGTATGTGTGTTTGCATGCCCAAAATCCCAAGAAGAGAATGGAGAAGAAGGGATTGTGGCATGGCCGTCTCCCATGGGGAGTGATTTCTCGCTTTGTGTCTCTCTGTCTCTCTGGCTAGTGCACTCAACCTATAGCAAAAATCTCTAAAAAAAAAAAATAAAAATAAAAATAAAATTCTAAGAGGAAAATGAAGGAGAAGGGATTGAGGCATGGCCATCCCTCCTGATGGGTGATTTCTCACTTTCCCTCTCTCTGTCATATGCATGCACCCTACACCAAAACCTAAAAACAACAACAACAAAACAAAACCAAAATATAATGCTTAAGCAGAAAACCTTGCTCTGATGTACTGTAATTCTAAAAAGCAGGGCCAGCTCCACTGCATAGTGATAATGTGCTGCTCAAAGGAACCTGGACCCACCTAGGCCACTGTGGGTTGAATCCCCAGCCCAGACCACCTGAAACACACCAGGTACATGTGCAAGTGCCCAAGACCCAACAGGCTGGAGGAAGGGAATCGCAGCATGACCAGACTCTGGAGAGTGCTCTTCTCAGTCTCGTGTGCACGTGCATGCACACACACATTCTCTCGTGAATAAAGAAAAATAATTTACACTAACATTCAAAAAGGCAGCGTCTAACGTTTCTTTTGCATGCTCAATTGACATAGACAGCAAGAAGTGGCACCAGGTATACCTCCCAAGAGAGTCCCGAGAGTAAAGAGCTCCTCAGATTTGTTGCCTAACAACCAGCAGACACTTAGCCCTGGCGGGCTGTCTCCTTCCGTAGCATACAAGTCACATGAAAGCAGGGAGAGCCTCCTGCCCAGTGCCTGGCGTTTCACCTATGTTTAATAACTGTCTGTAAAGTGAATGAATGGGAAGGTGGAAAGTAGAGACAAGCTAGTTCCGTATGTAACGAATCTAAACTGACATTCCCAAGGCATTTGGGAGACCTGCTCCCACGGTCAGGCATGAGCAATGAGCAATGGGACGACTAGCGTAGACTATTTTTCATTAGCATTGGCCTACAAAATCCAGATGTGAAGCCTCTACAAGGACTACAGGAGCCCAGAGGAAAGAGGGGAAATCCAGAGATTAGTGGGCCAGGGCCAGGGCCAGCCTGGAGCTCAGCATCCTCTAACAACCCAGCCTCCACGCCCAGGCTTCTGTGGAGGGCGTGCACTACGCTGGGCGAGCAATGACTAACGTGTGATCCACACTTCACATAGTTTTCACTTATTTAATAAAACAGCTCATTTTTTCCTCACAATTGATGTATGAGGTGTTTTAGGAAGAAACTTAAACAAAGAGGCTCTTTATATGACCCACCCTAGGTCATATGGCTGACATGGGACCAGGGTCCCTGTGCTGAGACCTGTGTCCTACATGGGCAACAGGACCAGGGAACGGAGCAGCCAGGAGATGGAGATCGTCAGCCTCCCTGGGGACGGGGGCCCACGGGCGCTGGGCTGAAGAGCTACTTTGAGAGTCCAAGATGCCTTCTGGAACCCTCTGCGACATAAGGATAGGCCGGGATAGAGGCCACCTGAGCTCCCTTGAGTCTTTCTCACTGCATCACGAACTACGGCGCTCTGACGTGCTCCAAGCTGACGTCGGTGTCTGGAGTGACAAATGCCTGGGCTGCCGGCGGGGGAGGGGGCGGATCCCGGTGTCACCCAAACTCCTGGAGGCTAGCACAAACCCCGAAGCCGCCTCGGCAGTCCCTCCACACCTGGCGGTGCAGTGGAACACTGCAGAGCCCCGCACGTGGGGCCGCAGGGCGGCGGGTGGGGACTGCGCGGCGCCGGACTACAAGTCCCACAATGCTCCGGGCCGCGGCGGCGGGGAAGGAGGGAAGCTTCAGGTGTCTGCGACCTCGGCGCCTCCCGCCCGGAAGTGCCTGAGGGGCCGGGATGGAGCTGGCGGAGCCGGGCGGTGAGTCCCCGCGCCGTGACCGCGCCCACCCCGCCGCCTGGGCCCCGGTTGGGCCCTGCTCGCCCCGCCCCGGGATCGCCCGTGCCCTCCCGCGGCTCCGGGGGGCGGGGAGATGGGAGGGGTGGTGGGTGGGGGTGGGGAGGGTGAAGTCTTGGATCCCGGGCGGGATCTGGGGTCCGACCGCCGGCGGGGCTTTGGGGGGGTTTTTTGGCGGGGGGG